GGTAAGATTAACTGCTTCTTGCATCTTCTGTACTGCATCTTCCAAGTCCTCCAGGTTGCCCAATCTCTGATACCAATCTGTGAATGACAAGGCAAGGCTTTGTAGCATGTATGCCCTCTCAGGATGGTCTGCTGGAGTGAGTTCTACCATCTCTTGATTTCTCTGCAGTGCTGCTTCCAAATCCTGCAGGTTCCCTGACCTTTGATACCGAGCGGTTAAACACACTGCAAGATTTCTCAGTTGGCCTGCCCGGGAGGGGTGTTCTGCTGGAGTCCGATCGACTATTCCTTGGAAGAGCCGCACTGCCACCCCAAGATCTTTGGCGTCTCCTGCTTCTTGATATTTCTTAAAAAAGCGAATTCCTAACACACATTCCTTCAGAGAAGACAGATGAAAAACAATTACCATACCAATTTGTGTCTTTGCCCTCAGTTCCGAGTCCTGCATGAGAAATTTCAGCTCATGTGTGCCCTCCTCAAGTTTGCAAACTCACGCTTGGGGTCCGGACACGATCATCGGGACGCAATTCCGATGGAGGCATCACAGTAGCAGTATCCTGCACTAGTAGTCAGTGTGGTGCATGTTGCATGCAGAGGTTGTCTTACGGTTTGGGTTCTCAACAGTGACAAGATGTGATTAGTTGGGGAGAAAAGGATGCGACGTGTGACGCTGTCGTCCGCTATATATGTCAGGAAGCACCCGCGACTCACGGTTGTCAAAAAGATCAGGACCTGATGACTATCGGAGAGATTACTACCAGAGATTTTTACCATTCATTAATTTAGCTTGCATCCATTTGGCATGTCACTGCACTGCCGGTGGAGGAATTCAAGTACTCATAATACAGCCTCCTGTGTGGTATACATTATTTGTGCTTAATGGAACGGTCATTCCAGTGCTTGACCGTAAACACGCGGTATAGCAATCTTCCTTACCTCATTGCGGTGCAACACCCTGTGGAGTAGGCGCTGCTTCTGACGTTTCGAAGCCACAGCTTTCCTACAGCTTCCCGTATAAAGTGCACGTCAATTTGACAGGACCACAGCCCCGAGTGAGGAAGTCTCGTAATTGCCTCATGGGCGTTCCTTTCTAATCCAAACCATATTCCTGCCTGGGCATACTTCCATTCAAATGTGTTGTGATGTTGTAACTCCTCGCAGCAGGAGTACCGAATTTACGGTTGTTCAAATGAGTGGAAATGGGGCCAGAAAATATCCCACCTAGTCGTCCTCGGGTGTAGCACATGCTAACAACAGCCCATTGACACTTCTCCATTGTATGCAGTCATCTCGGGTTCGACCCCTGGCACCCGCATGTGGTCGGGTCATTTTTGCTTCCTCGAGTGGTCTTGTTTCTGTGCTTCAGCAGCAGCAGGACGCGAATTTATTTAAACAACGTGGTTGGGGAGCAAGACATTCCGATCGTAGGCTTCAGGATTAATATCGAATGGTGGTTGAAATTAGGGGAATCAGGGCAGAAACTATCACTCCCCCTCCTAGCCATCCTTGGAAATGGAGGAATAAGTGAGTCGCACATGATGCAGCTACTAATTTAAATAATGCATATCATTATGGTTCAGCGGCTTCGATTCCCAGTGCTCGCCTATGCGCAAAGCATGAACACGACTTTTTTTCTTTTGAAAAGTGGAATGCTACAAGGATTGTCTCTTCTTCTTCGTCCACGTCGCTCGGGCTGTAAGTTGATGTCATGCCTGGGCATGTTGGCAGGTTGGCCGGTCCTCGGATCCTCTCGCTTTCTTTGCCTGTGATTAGGAAATTTTCAGGAACAGGAGATTGTTCTGCACCCTCAATGTAGGGACCTAAGATATTCGAACTGAAAACAGACTCGGACTGGGTTGATTAGACGCATTGACGCGACACCATGTCTGTGATGGCGGATCAATTGTGCGACTCCGCATCTGTTTATTCTCCCTGCACTTCCTCTTCCATTGCACCGGAATCGACAGTGTGCGTGGAATTGCACACAACGATCGATGCCGCGCTCGTTAACTCCTGGGACTCTTACACATTCCCCAATAACTTGTCAACTCACTAGGATTAACCGGCTGCTTCACCCTCATAAACTTGGGCTTTAGGCCACTGCGGGCGCATGGCAACGAGTCCCTGCACCGCTGCGCGGCTCATACTCTACTAAAGAATCATATTTGTATATGGTCACCAACATCACTGTTGGACAGGTGGTACTGAAAAGCTTCGGTCTGAATCATTCACGCTTGAGGAGAAGGGCACTGGGAGTGATCTGAGGTCTATAGTAGAGTTTACATAGAGCCATATCATCCAGACCACTGGATGGCTGTTTTTATCCCCAGAACACTTTACCCCTAGATGTTTTCACAGGTAATGGAGGGTGTCAACATCAAATTGAAGAAGGTGAATTAAATTCAAGAGGAGAGGGGATGCACGCTAGTAGGCAGGTTATTCCCGGGGCCGGAGATGATCCCCGAGGCCGCGGAAGAGCCCTGCCACGATGTTTTTCCGATTGACCAAGGCAAGAGCCATGTCCTAATATGCACGATGAAAACGGGTTTATAGGCGAAATAATGGACATACATTTAACACCAGCGGATCTGAGGCCCCGGGAAAGCAGTGAATGACAGACCTAAAGTGGGACGAGATTGATGTTGAACATTGAAAACCATGCAGCATGCCATACAGATATCTGTTTCCCAGAGTAGGATGGCATGACATCTCTGCGGGAGCAGCACAAAGGTGATTATACTAATAGCCAGAGCAGAGAGGCTGATACACTGGGCCAGTTTGTTGTCGGCAAATTCGTGTGGCACTAGGGCTATTCGCCGTAGCCGTAATACGACCGCACGTAGGCCCGTAGATACGGTGACCATATCCGTACCATATGGGCGGGCGTGAGGCGATCTTACGGCTCGGTCCGCCATACAGCGCCGTACATATCTTTTGAATCGGGCCGTGTACGCAGCATTCAAAGTCCGAAATTCTGCCGGAACGCGCTCGTCAACCTCTCCCGAGTCGATTGTGCATGTCGGCTTGGGTTCACCGTGTCAGTTAGCCCCCCCGGGGCCTCCCGTAACTGTCTCGCGACCCACACACAAGCTGTATGCTGGGTGCAAAGAGCTGCATGGAGCCCCTCCCCTCACAAAATCCTGTAGAATTCTCAAATATTGTTGTTAATCCCCTTTCACATTGGGTACGGCCGTATGACCTGTACTGTACAAGTCCTCATGATGTGGATTAGGCCTCTTCAAAGCGGGTGCTCAACCATTAGTAGAAGAGGTAACTTTCAAGAATGAACTCTAATAATCCAGATTTCCTCTGTTATTCTTGCTCATTGTAGAAAGATGTTTGTGGAGAGCAAGAGCTTTGTATGTATGTACAGTAATTGCAAAAAAAAAAAAATCATCACACCCTTTGGGAGAAACCACCTGGCCAATTCAGGACAGATTGAGATTTCAAATTTTGTGTTCTTAGACTCCTATCATTGAGAGAAAATCTTGACCACTCTGGAGCTGTGTAGTCCTGCAGAGTCTGCTTTGAATTTAAGAATGAGAGAAGCTTCTGAATGGATCAAAAACTCCTGTCACAGAGTGCTCATGCCCTCTAACCTAGGCTTTTGCTGTTCACCAGGTTCTGACAGTCATATTAAATGTATGATAGCAAGCAATCATTTTTCAATACAGTGCCTGATCTTGCCTGATACAGAAAAGGACAAGAAAATTCTGATGAATTCATAGCTATTTTATACATTTAGCGGTACCATATATTGTGCCGAGATAAAATGGAAAGATACTAAGTGAGGCATACATGAATCAAAGTAATTGAAAGAAGGTAGTAAATTATGTAGGAGTTATGAGGGGAGCCAGGACTCAGGATAAAACTAACCCTTATTATTTCAATGTCAAGATCACCATATTTGAGACGGAAATGATAGAGGTGGCGGTGAAGAGCTGGACCAGTCGGGAAATGCTGAAGCGAAGCTGAATCAGGAACTCAACGGATACTTGCGCGAACATAAAGCAGAAATGACAAACGGACAGTATTCAATATACCGTGAATATCATTACCTTCTCTTGGGATCTGACATCGGACAGAAAGAAACAAGAAGACATGAAATATATTTGCATTTTTTTATTGCTTGCTTTCTGGTTTCCTGAATCCGCAATGCATTCCAATTTTTTCCGAATACATGACAAGTACAATATGACAAAACTTGGTTTGCACTTGTAGCAGAAAATGGGCCAAAATTAGTCTAAGTTTAGTTAACATATGTTAGCCGTGAGTCAAGGTTCTGCCGCAACCATGGGGCTGGGCACAATATTTGTCATTATCTGCTATAAACTGCTGTGAGAGCTTGGTGGTACTCCATAGTATCCTCCAGTATTTTTATCTTACATTTATTTCGCCTTGGTGACTTCACAATCCCTAATTTTGTGAGACGGCTGTCGTGCGAATTCTATGCACAGCCGCACATTCACGCTGTGAAAAGTGCGCCCAGTCACTCAATTTTACCGTTCGAGGCACATGTTGAGGGGGAAATACATTGTAAAGACAAACTAGCTGTAATTCTGGTTCAGCATGGTCTTGTTGCCTGGGCAGACTTGCGCTGAGGTCTCGCAAAAAAATTCCTTGTACGGAACTACCTAATCCGGAACAGGGACTCGCGGCTTTTGAGGCGCAAGTAAAATCAGACCTTTAAACAAGTTTTTTTCCACCTCAAAAAAAAAAAAAAAAAAAAAAAAAAAACTCTAGTTTAAAGGTCTGACTAGGGAGCCTGGGCCAAAATTGATCTTCCCCAGCGTAGCCAAACCTAAAGGTTCAGCAATAAATCTTGTGTACGGTACGGTGTCGGCCGGAGCAACACCCATATGCAGCCGTTGGTGTACGGTACGGCCAACATGCCTGAAGAGAAAGTCTGAATTATGGAGGCCTCAATGAAATGATTGGTTGGCCAAATAAGCTAAGCGGAGTCAGGCCAGCACCTAGTCACCCATGAAAGGACAGGGAGAAGTGGGTGTAGCACATGGTGTGTAACTGCTAACAATGAGGACCATCTTTTGATGTTGCCAGCAGTCACCTGGGTTCGATTCCCGGCACCCACATCTGGCCAGCAGAAAAGTTTTTTTTCTTTCCAAGGGGATACCAATGCGATGTTTTGCTGCGACGTGGATGCTGTGATGTTGGCTGGTACTTAATCCTCTTTGACTATGATTAAATAAGGGAAGGCTTGGTTGGTTCAGTCGATTACAAGGACGATGTCTTTCGTTCTTGACCGGAATAAATTTGAATAATCTCGTAACAATAGGCCGAGTTCGCCAAGAAAAGCCCGAGCCAAGCGTTCCGACGCGTCGCAACCGAGCGCCACCGCCAAAATTGATGGGTCCCGTAACCAATTGATGCGCGCCACGCTTCTTATTGTTTATTCTCCACGCCGTCGCCAAACACGATCTCCTTAATGGTCTCTGGTGTCCGCGTCGCCTGAGTCGTCTGGGCTTCTCTGCTGTTTTTATCGAGTACTCGCATACCACAGTGTAACCCTAGCCTAGGTGCAGTCAGCCTCCTTGGCCACGGACTGGACCCGGACTCGGACCACGGACCAAAAGATAGAGGATCTCAAGATGTCGTTACACTCGCCCTCGCTGGGGCCTGCCTCGCCGTCGCCGTCGTCCTCGCAGGTGACGATCCCGATCCCGGGCAAGTCCATCCTCAAGCGCCCCCCCGCGCCCCAGGCCGGCCTCTTCTCCCGCCTCTCGCGCTTCCTCCCGGGCGAGTCCGCACCGGCGCCGGCGTCCGCGCAAGGGGAGAAGGAGCGGGAGCGGGAGGAGGAACGGGTGCTCAAGCGCGCGCACTTTATCTTGCCGGAGATCGCGGTGGTGTACCCGATCTCGAGTCTGGCGCCGCCGAGCACGCCGACGCTGCGGGACGAGAAGCGCGCGATTGAGGAGAGGGAGAGGGAGAGGAGGAGGCGGGTCGTGAGGAGCAATTCGCTGGTGTCGGCGCTCTCGCGGAGCAACAGCTTGCTGGCGTCGCCGGCGCTTGGGAATGGGAATGGGAGCAGCCCGACGAATGGGAGTGCGGACAATGCGAGTATACGGAGCGCGAGTGCGGCTGGGAATGGGACTGGGACTGGGAACGGGAAAGGGGAGGAGGGCGAGTGGTGGGCGATGGACAAAGTCGAGAGCTTTTATCGCGAGTGCTGCGAGGGGTGCCAGGAACCGCCTGACCCGGGCATCATGCGCGCGTTCAAGGTACTGTTCTCCTTCCTCGCCCTCTTCACAAGCCTCATTTTTATTTTTTTACTGCGATCGCTGCTGACACCACCCCAGACGACACCCCCGACGCACCCGCGCACGGTCGACTTCTCCGGCGTGCAGCTCACGTTCGCGAGCGCATCCATCCTCGCGGACGTCCTCAGCATCGAGTGGGGGCTCAGGAAGGTCGTGTTCAAGGAGTGCGATTTGGACGAGCTGGTATGTCCCTCTCATTGATTTTATCTTCCATCCGTTCGATCTACTATACTGCGTCATCCCCTGCTTCGCGATTGCGGCACCCTTTTCATTTCGTTTGCGCACCTTCCTTCTTCGTCTTGGCTTCCTTTCTTTTACGCAGCTTTTACATCCCGATCTTCGATCGCATCGCACACGACCGCGCCCGTCGATCCACATCTATGATACGCTACGATCATTCCTCTCACTGTACTCGTACTCGATGCCCTTATACACATCCCGTCACCTTCCACGCCATCTTATCCTGCTTATCCCTCTTCCCTCTTGTCCCTTATCCCGCTCATTCCGCTCGCTCACCCCCACCCCACAGACACTCAAACCCCTCCTCCACGCGCTCCTCATCCCGCGCAGCCTCGCGTACCTCAGCCTCGCGTCGAACCGGCGCCTCACCTCCGCGTCTGCGAAGACGACCGGGGGGAAGGGCGGCGGGGCGTGGAGGGTTGTGGGGGCGTATGTCGGGAAGGTGAGGGTTTTTTTGAGGGGGGGCGAGGGGGAGTGACGTTTGGAAGGGAGGGAGGTGGAGGAGACGCGCGGGCGCTTTGGGCGGCGTGGTGCGCTGGTGCGCTGCGGTGCGCGTACGCGTGCGAGCGCTGCAGGCGCGGTGTCGGGCCACGTGCGGTGCGGTGCCGCCCAGTGGGGGAGTGCGGGGCGACTTGTTGGCATTTCGTGCGAAGGCTAGCGTACGCAGGCGGGATGTGGGCGTTCGCTGGCGCGCGGGAATCCCGCGGTCAAGCGGCGCGCAGATGTAGACTCCGGGCGCGGGCGCTATGAGGAGGCATGCTTCTGGGGTGGGAGGCCAAGTTGGGACGGCACTCTGACTACATAGAGCATCGAGCGCGCGAAGATGTGCGCTTCGCCTCCCCCCGTACGCGTCTACTTCCCAAGTCTGCGGAGATCCGTGCTTTCGCTTCACTTTCTCCTCCTCCCCCCTCGACAAGACGATTGCTAACACATTTTCCCATCTCATAGGCGCACTCCCTCACCTTCCTCGACCTCTCGCAGAACGCGCTCGACAAGAAGGCGGTCGAGTGCGTTGTTGCCGCGCTGGGCGAGTATGTGCCGGCTGTGGCGGAACGGTGCGTGGCTTTCCTTGGGTTTCTTTTTCGTTCTCCCATTTCGCCTGCGTACCACCTCCCCCTCCGATACCCAATCGTTTCTCGCTCCTCCTCTTCCCCCTCACCCCTCCCTTCCTCGCTCCTCCCCCTCCTCGCTCCTCCCTCTCCCTCTCCCCTCAAATCTCTCTTCCCATACTGACCCACACACAGCCCCACCTCCTCCGCCGCGTCCTTCGTCTCCCTCTCCGACACGGACAGCACGGACTCGCGCGATCGGGAGCGGGAGCAGGACCGCGATGCACGGGGCGTCTATGCGAGCGGGAACGGTGATGTGCGTTTGTCTGCTTGGTCTCCCTACCTCCGTGCCGTACTGCCCCTTCATCTGCACGCTCCGTCTATCGATTCCTGAATACTGATGTACCCCAGGCGCGCTACGGCCTCGGCTACGGGCTCGACGACGGGCGGCGCGAGTCCGAGGCGCACGACGGGCCGAATGGGAATGGGAATGGGAACGGGAACGGGAAGCGCGGGCTGGTGTCGCTGAAGCTGGACGACTGTTCGTTGCGGGCGGCGGCTTTGGAGACTTTGTGTGAGTCGCGTGAACGTGTCCATTGGATACCATGCTGACTTGTCTTTGCAGCACGCGCCGTGCGCACCTCCTCCCTGCGCAACATCTCCCTCCGCCACAACCGCATCTCGCCCACGGGCGCCGTCGCGCTCGCGCTCATGATCCGCGACTACCCCGACGTCCTCGCCCCGCCGCCCGCCCACTCCGCCACCCACCCCCACCCCGCATCACACACCCCCGCCCAGTCCCCCGCGCTCCCCGCGCACGTCCCCGCGCACCTCCAACAAAATCAAAATCACACGCCGCCCGGGTCGCCGACGCTTACGTCCGCCGGGCTGGGCAGCATCTTGGGCGGCGGGGGGAAGCTCCCGCCGCCGCCCCGCCATCCGGCGGCGACGATCACCGCCGCGCAGACGACGTACACGCCGTACGTGCCGCGGCGGCGGCAGCAGTCCGTGCCTGCGCCGGCGCCGCAGCCGGGTGCGCAGCGGGAGGCGGTGGTGGCGAGCAGCGTGCTGGGGGGCGTGACGGCGCGGCATGTGCCGGGGCGGGAGTCGCCGGTCAGGGCCGCTTCCGGGATGGGGGCGGCGGCGGATAAGGAGCGGGAGAGGGAACGGGAGAAGGAGAGGGAGAGGGAGAGGGACGGGCCGAGCGCGGCGCTGCTGGATAAGGTGCGCGCGCTGGATGCGTTGCCGCGGGTGGGCGCGCTGCGGACCTTGGATTTGAAGGGGAATGATCTGAGGGTGGGTTTCCTTTTTCGCTTCCTCTTTGCGAGATGCTGATTTTTGTGGCAGACGGGCATCACGTACATCGCACAGGTGCTGAAGCGAAACCGGACGCTCAAGGTGCTTAATCTGGCGGAGAATAAGCTGGATGTAGCGTGTTTAGTGAGCCTGGCAGAGGCGCTGGTACGTTCCTTCCTTTTCCTCTTCGCGCATGGGATACTAACCAGGGACGCAGAAATACAATTCGAGCTTGGAGACGCTCGACCTGTCGCGCAACCCGTGCTCGGGGCCGGGGCTCGAGGGGGTGCGTCCTCCTCTCCGAGACGCGGCACGTACTAACGCCTCCGCAGATCCAGTCCCTGCGCACGGCGTTCACGCTCAACACCGCGCTCAAGCGGCTGTTCCTGAGCGCGACGGGGATGCAGTCGCCCGGCGCGATCGCGCTCGCGGAGTTCCTCCCCGAGAGCGCGTCGCTGCTGCACCTGGACCTCACGGAGAACGCGCTCGGCGTCGCGGGCGTGCTCGCGCTGAGCAAGGGCGTCGAGGCGAACTTTGTGATGCGGTGCCTGGACCTGAATATCCCGCCGGGGGACGAGGCGTGCGCGCGGATGTGCAGGGACATATTGAATGCGTGTGTGCGGAATACAGAGGAGGCGGAGCGCGCGGCGGTGCATGGCGGGGGCGGCGGCGGGTCAGGCACGCAGACGCCGGTGGGGAATGGGGCGAGTGCGGCGGGCGGAAATGGGAATGTGAATGTGAACGGGAACGGGAATGGGGTGCTAGCCGGCCCGGGGAGCGGGCGCGGGCTGGCGAAGGGCGTGTGGGGGATGATTGAGGAGAGCGAGCTCGCGAAGAGCATACGGCTCGATGAGGAGAAGAAGGTGCGTTTCGTCCTCGTTCCTCACGATATCCCTTGGCTGATTTGACGATAGATCGAGAGCGACGTCGCGGTTCGGGCGCGTGCGTGTATTGCGCAGCTCGAGGCGATGCTTGCGCCGCCGCCCCCGCCCGCGTCGCCGACTACAGCTGCACCTGCCGCGCCCCCGCCGTCGCCCGCGGATGTGCTGAAGCAGGCCCGCGCGCTGACGCGAGAGCTTGGGAACACGATCCAGACGACAGAGGACCCGTCGCGCATGGAGGAGCTGCTTGGCGTCAATGATGAGCTCACGGCGCTCGTCGCGCGCGCGCCCGCACCGGGGCGGCCCACGCTGACGCTGCAGGGCCTCGGGCTCAAGTGGACGCCCGGCG